TGGATGTCCCTCAAGCTGCTGGCCCTGCTGGCCCTGGCGCTGCTCCTCTCCTGCCTGGCCCTGCTCAACTTCTCCCTGGGCTTCCTGCTGGGTGCCACCCTCGTGCCACCCGCGGCCGCCGTCAGGCCCGGGGGCAGCAGGTGAGTGGAGACAGCACGGGGACAGCTGGGGACAGCGTGGGGACAGGCTGGGGTCAGTGCAGGGACAGCGCGGGGACAGTGTGGGGACAGCTGGGGACACCCTGGGGACAGGCTGGGGGCAGGTGAGAGCCCTTGGACACTGGCGAGGATGAGGCCCTGAGGGTCCCTGGGTGTCCCTGAGGGTCCCTGGGTGTCCCTGAGGGTCCCTGGGTGTCCCCAGATGGTCTCTGGCCACCCTGGGCTGCCCCTGGCCGTTCTCCTGGTGCTGACCACGCCGGGGCTGTCGCTGTTCCTGGGGGTCTCTGGGTGGTTCCTGGGTGTCTCAGGGTCTCTGGGTGGTTCCTGGGTGGTTCCCGGGGGTCTCAGGGTGGTCCCAGGGGTCTCTAAGCCCCGTGCCCCCCCAGGCTGCCCCTGGCCGTGCTCCTGGTGCTGACCACGCCGGGGCTGTCGCTGTTCCTGGGGGGCTCTGGGTCTCTGGGTGGTTCCTGGGTGGTTCCTGGGGGGCTCTGGGTGGTTCCTGGGGGTCTCAGGGTCTCTGGGTGGTTCCTGGGTGGTTCCTGGGGGGCTCCAGGTGGTTCCTGGGTGGTTCCTGGGTGGTCCCAGGGGTCTCTAACCCCCGTGCCCCCCCAGGCTGCCCCTGGCCGTGCTCCTGGTGCTGACCACGCCGGGGCTGTCGCTGTTCCTGGCCGTGCTGCTGGAGCGGGAGCTGCTGGAGGCGCCAGCGGGGCTGGGCGAGGCCTGGCAGCGCTTCCTGGGGGCGCTGGGCCAGGGGCTGCTGCAGGAGCACCTGCACGGGGCACACCTGAGCCCCCTGCTCTGCCTGGGCGCCTACCCCTGCTGGCTGCTGCTCTGGAACGTGCTCTTCTGGAAGTGAGGGACACACGGACACGGGACG